CTTGAAAAGAAGCCAAAATCTGCCACCCTCTCACAATGGAATCTATATAGACATCCTTCAACTCTTCATTTAAAAAACTACTCTTATACCAGACCAATCAAAAAATAATACTCTTATTGCAGCTATACCAGTAACAGCATTTGCTTTCAAATTATCATCAAATATTCGGGTTTTGCTGATTTGCTCTCACCAACTATTTTCTAGAGGTAGGAGGWGRTCAAGGTAAGAATTAAGTCCACCCAAGTCAAGTTCAGATTGGCTTGAYAAATTACCTCATTTACCATTAATTTTCACTAATAAATCATCTATAAAGTCTTACCGGAGTTGCACTTTGTATCTCTCTGCATATTRATTTTGAATATGCACCCAAATCTAGTCTGATCGACCAATACAATGTCACATGAAAGCAACAAAAAACAGCTAGCCTAAACCTTAAACATGAGCAGGTATTCCACCCATAGCCATTGCAAATTGCAGTAGTGTGTGTGCTCAGGGCCAATCCTTGGTGGTGAACCCAGTACCCACCCGCAATCGGAAACTCATTTCTCTATTCACTAATTGTTCTCATGTTGTTACAACACCCTCCAATTTAACTAGTTAACTGAAATACAATGGTGAATCTACAAATCCTTCTTTTGGAATTCTCCGAGCATAGCAGCCTACATCTGTATGGATAAGGGAATTCATTTCATATTCGTTCAACTTTTATTTGGCATATGAAGTGGATTTAACCCTCCTATTTCCTATACAAAGTTAAGAGATTTCTCGTAACGTGCTCATGTGAATACATAACATACTTCTCAGTCCTCATAAGTAATGGAATTAAAGCTGGCTGCCATCATATCAGATTATTCCAATCTACTCCATACATCAAGACATGTAATCAAACAGTTTGAAGTCAGAAACCAGATAAACCCTAAAAGGCTTTAAAGAACATAAATGAACTGATTCAGGTTTTTTATTTTATTTTTATGACAACCAAATATTCAAATCGAAATGCTTACCGGTGGCGGGAATCGGGTCGTCYTCAAAAGGTGGGTCAGTTTCCGGTGACGAACTGCCGGGGTTGGTGGCATGACGACGGTAGGACATCGGACATGATTGGGAAGGAAACCCCCGAAAGGAATGGTGAAGATGGAATGGGGAAGAAAACCCGGAGGAGGTGAAGGAAAAGCGTGAGAAGTGGAGACGAGGGCGGGGGAAGGGAGAAAGCAGAAACGAAGTTGGGCCCTTGGCGAATGGCAACGCCTGGGACGGGATGCTCATGCGAGGGAGACACGCCATTGCCGAATTGATTTCTGTGGAATTGTCTCCTTCTGGACCTCCTCTCGAGTCTCGTCTCGCTTCGCTTCGCCTTTTCAGATATTATAGAAGGCTGGGCTGAAGGGGAAACGTGTTGGCCACAATCGCCGTTACACTCAATCAGACATCACTCGCCCTCTTGTACTGACACGTGGCCATTGAATGACCTGCCATTTGGCATGTGATTTGGGACAAGTAGAACTGTAGAAGAGCCTTACCAGAGTCTCRACTCTCCAGGCGGTTKGGTATTAGCCGAATGGTTGAACATGGCTGAACCGCTGAAATTTAGGGATGGACAAGAGTTTAGATAATTTTTGGGTAAAGTACAAAGACACCCCTATATTATATGGGATCAGTCACAATTACCCTCTTAAGTTTCATTTGTGATAAAATATCCCCTACCATCAATTA